CATATTCTTGTTGCCCACTCGATTTGAGATGTTCTTGAGAAGAAAACCCAATCTCATCCCTTTCCTCTTGCGAGCCAACCTTTAGTTCCCTCTTCAAGAAAAGGACTTTTTTCAGAAACTCTAGGAGAATGGGCGTTTTAGGGCAGGATCTAAAAGCTCTCCAACGTGTTGTGGAGCTTTCGGCCGTGAGAGAACAAGGTCTTTTGGCTTCCTTAGGACTGTGTGAAGCTTAGACAATGCAGGCGCAACACTATACCTAGAGTCTGATTTGTTTTCATAGTCTGCGAGCTAGCAAGGAGAGGCTCATTGCCATCTACCAATTCCTATAAGACTAATATACAATTGTGTATACAGTTGTCCTACTACTACTACCTGGACCCACTTTATGATGTATTAGTCAAACCCTTGGGATACGACGCCCTGCTTCTTGAGTAGTATGGGATTGAATACCCCGACCCCCCAGAGGCTTCCGAGAAAGCTGTTTCAGCCTGCTGTACCTTCGCATCTTGTCTTTTGGTTTTATTGACTTGCATGGTGATGAGACCTTTCCCTCGAGTTCTGTGACTCGATTCACAAGAGCTCTACGCTAGAGCACAAAAGAATAACAACCTGATTTGGAGTCAGAGGATCACCCTATGGGGTCTTTGATCTCGATGAAGGGAAGTGAAACATAAGCGAGGAAGAAAACGAAGCTTAGATAGTATAAGATCAATAGAAATAGGAGAAGGGGGCCACATTCAAGAAGACGGTTAATATGAGTTGTACCTTCTGAAAATGTATAGTTTATTTTGGTTTTTTGACTTGGTTGTCTTACAATGTGGATCAATAAGATTTTTAATTTATGCAAACCTATGGTTGTGAATTTAATCAAGAGTAAATGATATATTTTAGTTTTGAAGTTTTGGCTTGTTGGTTATATAAATGACACAAACACGATACGAATATTCTACGAGGTTTAAATAACTCGACACCAAATACGCCCCGAACTAGTCCAGTGATGCCCCTACGTGTAACCATGCTGCTTCATTGGTAAAAGTGCAAGCTTGGAGAATAAGCAAAAATGGTGAAAAAGCAACAAATACACCTGTATACAGGTGGCAAATGAGTTTGTTGGGTTGGTTATGAGATGGGTTAAATTGAATTTAGTTAAAATAAATCTAATTCATTTTTCACTCACATAATAAATAGACTATAATAAGTTGGGTTTATAATAGGTTGGGTTAAACCGATTAACTCATAAAATAATTAAAATTCTTAATAAATATATTAGTACACCAAAACACACACACAAATACACCAAAATAACCACAAACTAATACATTAAAAATAAAAAAATTTGGAGGTTAGTCCCTCTATATGGACTTGTTTGGATTTAAGTCCGTCAAGGAAACTTATTTGTTATGAAGTCCGTTTTTTGTCAATTTTACCATACTATCCATTTCCTTTAGAAATAAAATAAAACTAAAAATTAAAAACTCATAAATCTTAGGAGTTTGACTAATATTAAAATCTTTTCTCTCTCATCTATATATATAGTAACATTAAAAATAAAAAATAGTAACATTCAAATACAAAAAAAAGTTATCATTTGGATACAAAAAATAATACATTTAAACACAAAAAAATAATAACATTTAAACATAAAAAAATTAAAACATTCAATATTAATATTTAAAAAATAATAATAACAGTAACATGTTCAATAAAAATATTAACATGTTCAACAAAAATAGTAACATGCTTAACAAAAACTGTAACATACTTAATAATAATTATTTCTCTAAAATTTAAACGCAAAAAATAATACCATTCAAATACAAAAAATAATAATATTCATAAAAAAAAAATACCAACATTGAATAGTAATATTTAGGAAAATAATAGTAGTAACATGCTTAATAAAAACATTAACATGCTCAAAAATAATAGTACATGAACAGTAACATACTCAACAAAAGCAATAACATGAACAATAACATAATAAAAAAAATAGTAACATGAATTTGAATTTTACTATGCAAATTCATAGTAATTTTTTTTTGTATTTGAATGTTACTATATATATATATATACACCTAACTAATATATGGATATAGATAGATATGAGAGAGAAAAGATTAACTTCCTTTCAAGAAAGGGTATTTTTGAGATAAAAAAAAAATGGACTTAAGTCATTACATATAATTTTAAATATGGACTTAGGCCCTTATAAGTTTCTTTGCAGGACTTATCTCCAAACAAGTACATCTAGGAGGATTCATTTCCAATTTTCACTTAAAAATATACATCAAAATACATACTAATACACCAAAAATATAAACAAAAACTAAAACACATTTAATAAAAAAAAATACACACATAATGGGTCGGAGTTCATTGTGGACCATGGGTCACAAGTTGATCCATGTGTCCCGAGTTGATCCATGGGTGACCCTGTGGGTCATGGGTCAACCCATGGGTCATGGATGGTGTATTAGTGTGTGTATTTTTTGTGTACTAATTTGTGTATATTTTAGTGTATTAATATATATGTGTGTATTTTTTTGGTATAATAGTATTTGTATTTTTTGGAATATTAATACATTTATTTAATTTTATTACTTGTGCTATTTAATAAAAAGAACTCATATTAATTAATATAGATATCCAACTCATTTATTTATAAGCGGATTAGACGGATTAATGGGTAATGGGTTAAATTGCCACCTCCACCTATGCACAATACTTGTAGGCTAGGTGGGCTTTCCATGTCCACCTCACTTCTCCAATTTAGGCCCAGTATTACAGCCCAAGGTTCTCATCTCGTTGTCAAGTTTGAGGATCCACTTTAGGGTCACCAGGCCACATAGGGCCCGTAGATGTGCCAATAACCCAAAAAATAAGGCTATAAACTACGGTTTTTGGGCTACTCAACGGGCTGGATTGATTGCGACCCATAAAAGAAGTTCATTGAATAAGGTCAAAATTTTCCATTCACTAGGAAGTAAAAACCTATCACTAGATCGTCTGGAAGACAGATGCAAGGAGAAGAAGTGGCACTTGAAAGTGTTGCAACTTAACATTTAGATTTTGGCATTGCAAAGCTTGCACCATTTTTTTGCACTTGGGCACACATTGTGACATTGGTAATGATTCTATTACTGTGCCATAAATTTACAAGCTAATTGTTGTTCTTCATTGGATTTTAGAGGAACTACTTCATTAGGATTGGGGAATTCCTTGTGAACTCCGTTAGCCAGGAGAGGTCCTTCCCCTTCCTAACAGTCAATCCTCTTTCTCGGGAGAAAGCATTTCTCTCGTTTAATTCGAACATAACACGCAGGAGTCGGGGGATATATAGGGCCAAGAGCAAGACGGTTCCATGTCTTACAATATTCAAGTCAAGGATTTTTTATGATAACTAAACACATACTGAACATCCCTAAAGGATGGAACAAGATGCAAAAGTATGAAGTCAAATCTTGGAAGAGAACAAGGAGATCTCGGGGGAGCAACATGGTCCATTTACCCAACTAGACCCATTGTTGCCCCTTAGGTTAAGGTGTCCCTAAACAGTTGGCCATAGACTTCTAGGAGAAACATATCTTTTTCTGTTTGCTTAATGGTGGGTCACCAACCATAAATCTAAGTGAACTCTACTATATTCAAATGAGTCTATCCTCAATCCATTGTTAGTAACCTAGATGTACAAATGTCCTTTTGCTTTTTAATGAGTTATTATGCATTTTATTTTGGAAGAAAAATAAAATCAGGACGGTTACATCTACATTTTCAAATAATTTCGATATATTTGATCCAAATAATATTACCGTCAGTCAAAAAACTAACTTGGTCAAACAAAAACTAGGTCCATCCTGCCCAAAGGGTTTCGCCATAGAATTTTCAACCTTTCAATTACAATATGCCACTAATGTTACATGTGACACTCTATTAACAACACCAAAAGTGAATTTTTTTTTTTTTTTAATTTAATGATGTTGATGCAGAAAGTATCCAACACTAGGAGAAAACGACAACTGATTAGTTGGTACTAACTTTTACATTGTATCTGCCTAGGTTTATTTATGTTCATCATATGCTAATGAATCACAGGATGCATGCTGGCCTAAAGAATGAGAAATAAAAGCTATACAACTTTTTTTAAAAACCAATGGCCATCAAGTTTTACTTTTGAAGATATTTTTTTATACATTCATTGCATATAACTAAGCATCCTCTCTCTCTCTCTCTCTCTCTCTATATATATATATATATATATATATATATGTGTGTGTGTGTGTGTGTTGAAGCAGCCCAAACAAATACGTAGAGATAAGGGACAAATGGGTAAATAATCAATATAATGGTATGTTACGTCATCATTATCATATGATATTACCATCAAATATAAAACTTGAGGGTATAAGTTCAAACTTAAGGGACGACTACTCGTGCAAATAATCAAAAGTTTGTACATTATCTATCCTTCTAATTTTGATCAATTAACAAAAACTAATTCGGAATGACCTTTTTTTAAAGGGTCATCACTTGATGCAGAAATAAAAGTATCGGACTAACAACCGTTATTCTGAACTTAAATCTAAGGACAACTATTTTGTGCAAACAATAACAAATATTAAGTCTTATCCTACACCCAAAGTACGAGCCCAAACTGGATAATACCCCTGGTGTACAAATATACCGATACATTTTCTTCCTCCAAACACCCTCCCCCCTAAAAAAAAAAAAAACCCCAGCCCCACCCCAACCCCAACTCTAAAGTGTACTTCTTCTAGATTGCTCTCCTCAGCCTAGTGGCTGCAGGCCACAAGTGTGGTCAACCCCCCCCCCCCCCTCCCCCCGGTGTACTTCATCTAGATTGCTCTCCCCAGCCTAGTGGCTGCAGGCCACAAGTGTGGTCCTCAAAAAATACCATCTCATTTAATAGGTGGTGGGGATGCATTTAATCACACACCCCTTGGTGGTAAGGAAGTCACATGACCATGTGTTATGCCAAACGAAAGAAAGAAACTCAAATCTCAGCAACTTGATGCAATCATAAACTTCAACTGGCAACTCAATCAATGTAAGGACATGACAATGTGATTTTTAACTGCTTCCCTTTCACTTTAAAGGGTATGGAACCATTCACCCAGCCATCCTCTCAAAACCTGAACCCCATGAAAATGAAACCACGGGATACAGACGCGCAATAAGAAAGCAGACATCGACATTAATGTCATCATCTCCTTCACTTTTCCTTTGTGGATTCTCGTATCTATGCCAAAAAGAAATTCGTGAAATCCTTCAAGTATTTATCTTTTTGTGTGTGCCAAAACAAATAAGATACACAAAATTGTGTATAAGTTCAATATATATATGCATGCGTTGTCAGGAATAAGCAAAGCTGGTATGGATAAAAGCAAAAGACATGGATTGAAGAACAAATATGTGAGCACTTACAGGTGATGAAACAACAACAAATTGCCGGTTCTGCAAAATAAAGATGCAGCAATTTGCATATAAAAGCAATGATCTCATCGCGAAAGGTCAGATAGAAAATAGATGTGTCAATTCAATCATTTGTAGAAGCTTGCACAGGTTTCTATTTTTTTTGTGTGAAGGCCTGAAATTGGTGTTTTTGTAGTTTGGTTGGCATTGACCAAGTAACTTACCTATACCAGAAAGATATATTGAGTGCTGTAGACTAGGAAGAGTATTAGTTAGATTACTTGAATGAACACAACATAACTAGCCAAATATGTTAGAACCAAAACAATCTCTAGCAAAAAAGGCCTCGTCATGGTAAAAGAAACGGTAAAAAAACTGAAATATTTGTGAAATGTTCAGTTTAGGTGCAGGCATGTATTCAGGTTTCAACCCACACCATAAAAATTTGGTTGGCAAGAGGTGCTCCCGACCCTGGACAATAATTAAAAGTGGGTGTGCTTTCTTTTTTATTTTATTTTTTTGTGGGAGGAGGCAGGGGAGATGATATTAGATGTTAATAGAAGTAACTGCACAAATCTACAAAGCAGACCTAACTTGCCCAGTGCAGTATTGGTACAGGTGTGATAGGCGCATAAAGGGCATTGAGAAACGTCATGCAAAAGAACTAGTCAAGAAGCACAAGATTAACAATAAAAACCAACTAACAAAGTCACCCTAGTTTTAGCCCTACTGATATTTGTGTCATGCTAAAAGTCTGATGATCATGTGTTGTGTATTGTAATGCAAGTGAAAATCACTTTAATCTTAATGCAGGCCGACAATAAATCAATCACATTCTCATAAAAGCCGAAAGGAGGAATACATTAAAAGAGGCTCAAGAAAGAAACCTTTTTAATTACGTTGTGACCTGTTGAAACTACCAAATCCAGATCAATGGGAAAAGTCATGTGAATCTAGGTTTAGGCATGGATGAACTATCATGATGCGTTGGAGCAAGCTTTTGAATCCAATGAAGAAGCCCTTTCTTATGATCATGACATGTTTGGTTTTGTACCAGATCTAGGGTTCCATCCCGGGCAAGTGATGACTCGAACTGCTCTAATACCTTCACCACCTGCCAGAACTCAGGCCTCTTCTCGGGGTGCAAAGACCAACATTGCTCAATTAAAGCTCTCATGGCATGAGGGCAGTCCCCAGGTAAAGCTGGTCTCAAATTCTGAAAGATCCCAAAAGCTATCAGATATTACATGATATAAGACTTCTTAATCTTTTGTAATTTGAAAAAGCTGAAGGAAAAATAAAAGAAAACAAAGATAAAAAAGAGAGAACAAAAAAAAAAATCTAATAATATCTACTAAATGATTCACCCACACATATATTAAACCATGACGAGTTAATAGCCTTATCCAATAGCTATTCAACAAATTTACAATTACCAGTGAAGAAACAGAGATGCTAAGAGATCATGAGGCTTCTTGCTTTAGGATTAAACTCTGTTATGCTGTGATATATTTATCCAAAAGTAAAAAAACACTAATTGAATAGAAAGTAATAAATACAATGGTTAATTACACTAGAAGTCCTTAAAGTATGAAGTTTGTCTCATTTTGGTCCCCAATATTTCAATTGCATCATTTTGGTCCTTGAAATATTGAATATGTTTCTATATGGTCCCTCAAGATTACTAGCAATTTTTTATCATAAACTTGTCATGTGATACTTAAATATGAACAAAAAAATAATTTTAATAACTTTTGACCAAATTTTTACTCAAATTTTGGTTAAATAACTACTTAAATTACATAGTTTTTATCATCAGTTATCCAGATTTTAGTCAAAAGCCAATCATATTACATATTTTTTTGTTAAGAGCCACCCAAATTTTGTTAAAGATGTATCAAAATTATTTTTTATCCATATTTAGGTATTACGTGGCAAATTTATGATAAAATTTTTTATCAATCTGAATCTTGTCTGATTGAAGGATCATATAAAAACATATTCAATACTTCAAGGATTAAAATGATTCAATTGAAACATTGGAGATCAAAATGAAACAAACACCATACTTTAGGGACCTCCAGTGCAATTAACCCTAAATACAATAACCATTCCACACACATTCAATAGCCAGTCACTAATGGCACAACCCTAACATAGCTTTCAGGGGAACGGATATGGCTTACAGCAAGAAGACATGGCTTAAAAGAAAAAATGTCAAACATCATCAGCCCCAAAAGATTATGAAGCACAAGTAGCCAAACTCACCAGAACAATATCTGTAAACTTACCATGTCCAGAGGTTCCCTGGTTGAATGCAGTAAATCTATTCCCACTCCTATGAGTTATACCATCGTAAATTGTGGCTTTGGCTCATTTTGTAAATTCAAAGAGGTTTAACTACCATCCTCCTCCCGAAAACACCCAAAAGAAAGGGGGGCTAAGAATTTTTCCAACTTAAATTCACACATGACAACATATGGCTACAACTTAACACAAGTGCACAAGGCTCCTGCTACTTTGGGGTCTAAGGAGGTTCAGATAACGATATGAATTATGAAGAATTATAAAAAAAAATAAAGACAAGAGAAACGAAAACATTAAAGTCCGGAATGTACCTTATTCACTACAGCAAAAGCAGCTTGGATGGGTGTCATATCCTCATAAGGGATAGTTCCAGATACCATTTCCCATAAAATGAGTCCAAACCCATATACATCAACCTTACGGCAATAGGACTTACGTTTGATCATCTCAGGTGCCATCCAACGATAAGTACCTGGGTCATCTGCCAGAAGATCATAGTATACCTCCTCACAAGCTATTCCAAAATCAGCAATTTTCAGTTGGAATTCTTGATTAATAAGTATATTCTCAGGTTTGAGGTCCCTATGAATAACACCTTGTGAGTGTATGTACTCCATTCCACGAGCTATATCCAAAGCCAAAGTGACTAATTTCTGTAAGGGAAGAGATCTATGCTCAAGCTTGTGCAAGTATGCCCTCAAGGACCCCTCTGATAGATATTCTGTGATAACACAATAAACGGGTGGCTTTCTGCATGCTGCTACAAACTGCTTCATGGAATCAAAACTTGACAAATTATAAGGAATTCAACAAAAGTACCAGTTCTCAAACAACTTCATATAATTTAAAGTTTTTCTACAATGAAGAATTACATCCATACGTTATAACTAACAATGTATCAAGACATATGGAACCGGAACAGAGCTAACTCCCAGCAACTGGACTTCCACAACAAATTAAGAGAAAATATTGATTGATCTACAAGCCAGAAGCACATAAATATGAAAGCGGGGAGAAAAAATTGGTTACCTTTATGACATTCTGATGGTGGAGTCGAGACAAGAGAATGACTTCCCTATTGAATTGTTTCACTAACCGAGCTGCTAACTCTTCATTTTCGTCATCATCTGGAACCCTGATAATTTTCACCGCAACAGGTTCATCCTTATATATCCCATGGTAAAGCTGACTATGTGCCCCATGAGCAAATCTAAGGCCAAGAAATAGCTTTGAAAGATCAACCATATACTCATCTGCTGTTTCCACAGAGGTAACCCTTCCTCCACCATTGTCAAAATACTTTGTCCACACAAATTCCTTCTTGTTCTTCGTTTTATCACTAATTTTCATCGAAGAGAAGTGCCTAAGGGGGCTAGTATTCAAAGGTGACTTTGAATCAAGTCCCTTGGTTCCTTGTGAATCTTTGTGAAACAATTTGCCTACAATCCACGTCTCATGCTCTTTCCTTCTAGGATGTGGAGTTGAGAATCTCTTTCGATTGGACCGAGCTTCCTTAAAGGTATCAGAAAGCTTGCTTTCTGGGAGAGGTGATACAGCCCTTTGCTTGTTTGTGACAGGATTTTGCTGAATCAGTACACTTTCTGCGCCTGACCTAGCATAAACAGAGGCTGTTCCGGGTCTTGATTTCACACCCGAAATTCGATTTGGCTGACTTGTGAAAGAAGCGGAGGCCAATCTTGCTGCATCCAACCGATGATAAATGGTGTGTGAAAAATGGGTTCTCCTTATCCAAGAATTAGCATCTTCCTCCATTTTTACTCTCTAGAAGACCTGATACCCACAAACCAAACTATTCTCCTTCTTCTCCTCCTCCTGCTGAGAAGAAGGTTTAAAATCAAGATTTTCCTCCAAATCCCGTGTTATAATTCAGAGAGCTACATATGCACCATTCTTTCCAATCCATCAAGGGATAAACCATGAAGGACAGAATCCACATCCATTGAAATATATAAAAAAAAACACCTTCAAATTCTTGAACAGAGTAAGCCAAAAAATATCAATTGAACACCACAAACATCATCACAGAAGCTCCAGAGTTCAAACCTTTTATCACAGATTCAGCCAGCTGTTCCTCAAAACTCAATCTACTTTAGCAAAAGAATAGACCTTGTTGAATCACAGTTCTGGGAACCCATCAAAACCAGTGAACATGAAGACCAAATAATACCCATCAAATCAACAAGAACCTGACCACAACCAACCCTCTTACCTCAAACAACAAACCATCTTTAGCTTCAAAGTCAAATACCACCTTCCTTCAAAGTCTAGAAAACCCCACGCACAAAGCCAAATAAATAAAAAAAGAAAGTACATAATCCAAGTACACAATTAAATAATCCCCAAAACAATACGTATGCTGAATTGGATTGACAATAAAGAAACACCCATCATTATAAACCCCATTAGCAAGAAAGAAAACTAGTAATTGCTTCAAAACAATCACAAACCCATCACACAAATACATAAATACCCATGTAAAGAAGCAACGGATCCGAGTATATCATACTTACCAAATGGGTATATATTTCACAATATTCTTCATTCCAAAAAATAAACAAAACCATCTATGACACACACATATATGAGAGAGAAAAGTCGGGCCTTGAGGTAATTTTCAAGAGGTGTAATCATATATTATAAAAAACCATTAGATATTTGTATAAATCACAAAACACCTATTGACAGAGAGAGAGAGGTACCATATGATATTACGCATGCGTAGTCTCTACGGAGGTGTAAATGACAGTAGATGATTCCGTGGACCCGGTTTTTGTTGTAGAGGTATATGAGGGCGGTGGGGGTGGTGGGTGGTGAGACCCACCCGAAGGAAAGTCAGAGAAGACGGAGAGGAGAGAGAAAAAGGGTAATAAAAATAAATAAAAGGAGGTTACAGTACAATATATAAGAGTCACGATCAGAAAATGAAGTACGGAATAACAAACCAAAACACAGCTATGCTTACTTGGCTCTTGTAAACCCTGAAACGGTACGGTACGGATACGTTTCTTGATTCGGTGCTAATCTAATTGCTTGTGGGTGTGGAGAGCTGGTGTCAAATGGAGTGAATTTTAATCCGTATTTAAATCCATTTAATCAAATATAAATTAATATCTTAATTTATTTTTTTGAATTCGATTAAAATTTTTTAAATTAAATTTAAATGCATGTAAATTCGATTAAATAATAAATATACATATGCATAAATACACACACGCTTGTAGTTAGATTATTAATGAGATTAACATAAAATTAAATAATTTTTTTTAATAGAATAATTGGTTGACAAAATTAGGTTAAAAATTAACTTAAAATTGATAAAATTATTAATTTTTTATGAAATTTTGTTGACATTCAAATTTTTAGATCGAATTGAGTAATCAAATAGATACCTGACTATTAACAAATGTGAATATGAATTAAAATTTTAAGATTTATCTAGTAAACGGATTGGAATCGGATCAAGACAGATTAATATCCGATACGTTGACAACACTAGTGGAGAGCTAGCAAGCATCAAATTTTTGTTTTGGTACATAAATTTCGACGAGTTTGTAAATAAAAATGTATCGATAATGTTTTAAAAATAATATGAAAATAAAAAAAAATTAAAAAATTATTTCAAAAATATTAGTTGAAATATATTGAAACAGATGAATTTTGATATTTAATTAATGATTCATTTTTCTTTCTATAAAAACAAAAACATTTCTCACATTTTGACTTTTTCGAAACGAAAATTTAGTTCATTGATAGAGTATGAAAAAACTGGGATTTTAAGGTGGGCCCAAATAATAACAATGACAAAAATGATGGGATTAATCCAGAAATTATAGTGAATTAGGTAAAGTTAGATCAATAAATTAAATCACAATAAAATTACTTTAGCATTAATATTTTTCCTGAATTTCAGCACTAGGAAAACCCTTATGGGCTTATGAAAAAGTCCTATCTTGGCCCATCTTGTGACATACTTTTTTTGGGCCAACATGGGTAGAGAACTTGATCCACTTCATACCCAACAACCAGCAGTCACCAGGGAGTTTGAACTACTAATTTGGGCCGTTCTGATAGGTACCGTACATCTATTTTTAATTCAATAAAAATTTGACAGGTGAATTTTTATTTTATTTTATTATTTTTACAACTAATGACTACCAATTCAATCAAATTAAAATCTACAGCTCTCAGCCAATTTCGCTAGGATACATATTTTTCTGGACACGACAGACTTATTCTAGATTGGCCCATGACTCCTGCTATTTAATGAGTCATGGGTGGACGAGGCCGCCAAGGGCCATTTTTCTTTTTGAAAGAAATAATGCTAATTTATTAATTTTTAAAAGAATTGATCCCAAAAAGAGTTGAGCTTGAATAACTTGACTCGATTATCAGTCTTATTCATAGATTATGTAATAAAACTTCGTGCACTAAAATATTTTATATATATATATATATATATATATATATATATATATACGGATCAGTAAAAATATCATTTGACACTGCCAGATCCACTAGATCTTGCAGATTCACCCCCAGGCAAGATCAGATTTCTGAAGGAAGAAAATCTGATTTCTCATCTGTTTCCCATAGAGACAGAGAGATTGCCCAAGAACTTAACCATAGGTTGAAAGGAATCGCTAATTCCTCAGAACCAGTAGCTAGACCAGTATACACTCCCATAAGTGTCCCGTTAAAGTCTAGATACACAGAGTTTAAACAAACAAAGGATGATGATTTTACTCCATCACCTTCTCTGTCACCCACTGCTAGTGCTTTTGATGAATCCAGTAAAATTCACCAATTATACACTATCACTAGGGAAAAAGAATTTTTTATGCCTGATATTTACAAGCTAAAAAAGGATTTCAAAACCCCTGAGAACAAACCTCTTAGGAAAGCTTTTGAATCTTTACCTTGTAAAACCCAGGAAACCAGGACAATAGATAAAATTTCTTTTTTAATAGTGGAATAATTCTTTTGTGTCTTATTCCAAATACCAGAATGGAATCGAACAATTTGTTCAGGAGAATTAGGAGATTCTCTCTGAAGGAGGATTCCACCATAACCAATATCGGAGGCATCAGTCTGGATGATTTTGAAAGAATCAACGGACGGAATACCAAGACAGGGAAGAGTTTTGATGAACTTCTTAACCTGCTGAATAATGGAAGTATGAACAGTGGTCCAAGGAGGAGGATTTCCTTTGAGCCTGTCATACAGAGGTTTGATGGTTTGCCTAAGATCCTGATAAAAGTCAGAAACATAGTTTAGGGAACCTAAAAACCTTTGAAGCTGGGTTTTGTCCAGAATTTCATCTGGGAATTTATCTGCAAATTGGATGGCTCTACTTATAGGAGTGAAAGTAGAATCCTGGATATTGTATCCTAAAAACCTTACGGAGGTTTGGAATAACTTAATCTTAGATGCAGATAAGACTAATCCATTTTGTTTAACAATTGTATGAAAAGCATAAAGGTGCTTCCAATGTTCTTCTATTGTTCTGGAGAAGATGAGTATATCATCTATATAGACAATAGAAAAATGACTGATACAATTGAAAACTTCATTCATTATGTTCTGGAATTCACTCGGGGCGTTTTTCAACCCAAAGGGCATGACATTCCATTCATAATGTCCGAAGGGAGTAGTAAAAGCGGTCTTATACCTGTCCATAGGGTGGATCTGTATTTGCCAAAAACCACTTTTGAGATCAAATTTGAAAAAGATAGTGGACTTATTGAGTCTCTTTATCAGATCCTGTTTGTTAGGTATAGGGTACCTAATCCATTCTAAAACCTTGTTTAAAGGTTTATAATTAATGACTAACCTTGGGACTCCTCTTTCTAATTCAGCGTTTTTGATGACATAGAAAGCAGGGCAAGACCAAGGTGACTTACTATTCCTAATGATACCATTTTTCAGTAACTCTGAGATTTCTTTTTTACAGATCTCAGTAGTTTCATGGTTCATTTGGATTGGTCTAGATTTAGTAGGGATATTGTCCTCAGTAAATCCTTTAATATACGGAAGCCTGACCATGTGTTTCTTCCTATGCCAGAATGCTGTAGGAAGGGAGGAACAAATTTCGGATTCTAATTTATACATTAATTTAACCCATTCTGATACCAGGACTATCAGATTCTGAATTAGACTCTGAAATTTCTTCAGTTTGGTTGATGACTGTTATCTGGGAAGTACTAGTAGATTCTTTCCTAGATAAGAGTGCATCAATCTGTTGAATTAGGTTTTTATCTTTTAAACCTAAATTCTTTCTTTCTTCAGGTAGGTTGACTAGAGGTCTTTCTACTGAAGATGGCTTAATTTCATCTATTTTATTTTCAATTTTGTCCAACTGTTTACCTATGGTAATTAGGCTTTGGTTGGTGAAATTGACCTGTTCAACTATCTTCTTTTCAGATTCTATGACTGGAATCTTAAAGGGAGTAGCTGTAATAGTTTGGGTAGCACATTTAAATTTAATAGTTTCTGCTGGTGGATGACTAGAGGTTACCACTGCAGATTCTGTTTTCCAATTTTGCTGAGTTACTACTTTTACTTCTTTGTGGAAGTTACTTAAGTAGTTTTCAAAAGCAATTTCGGATTCTAATTTATACATTAATTTAACCCATTCTTTTTTAATGGTTTCCTGGGTTTTACAAGGTAAAGATTCAAAAGCTAAATTATTCCACTATTAAAAAAGAAATTTTATCTATTGTCCTGTGTATCTCTAAATTTCAGGATGATATATTGAATCAAAAGTTCCTTGTGCGGGTTGACTGTAAATCAGCCAAGGATGTTTTGACCAAGGATGTCAAAAATATAGCTGCTAAGCAAATTTTTGCTCGTTGGCAATCTATTTTAAGTATTTTCGATTTTGATATAGAATATATCAAAGGCGAACATAATTATATTCCTGATTTCCTAACCAGAGAATTTTTGCAGGAACCTCATGGCGGACAGGAAACCTAGTTCATCCGGAACCTCCTCCAAAAATTCCAGGGGGAAGGGAAAGGATAAAATAATACCAAAATCTGAACCTGACTTACCATTAGTTTTGTCAAACAGATTTTTATTACCAACTACTCAGCCCACAAAGCCAGTAGTCCAAACCCAACTTAAGCTGAGTCAGATAATGGCCAATGAAATAGCCAGAATGGACTCAACTAGTACCCAATCGGCCCTGGTTAATCGGCCAGTAGCCATTTCAACTACTGTTAACCCAATAACCTTCACCCAAATGGCCCAACAGCAACCTGTCAGGACCACTAGTGCCATGACAAACCCTTATCAGGCCTCACAACCCTTTGTAGCCCATTTAGGCCCAAAGGTTGACTATGTCAAAGCCTATTCTGAGAATGTCCTAGCCATTGAACTAGCCCATTCTAAATACAAGGATCCAATAGACCTTGTACAGGCCTACCTCCCAAAAGGATGGACTTTTATCCCAGTAGACTTGGAAAAACCCCATAGTTTTTACCAAGATATTCTCTACTATACCAAATCCATATTTACCAAGCCCATTTATGATAAGATAAACCCAACTAAGGTTATCTATCATAGCCTGTCTATTACCAAGCTTATTTCTATTGATGAATGGGGTTCTCACCCTTCTTTACTCAGAGAACTTCCCTATCACAATAGACAATTTAATTACTATGACTATATTGAGTCATGGTCCAAAATATTACTCTACCAGAATGAGGATTTGTCCCATTCCTGGTTCCTTAATTTCCATAAAGATTTCAGGAGCCATATTCCTGCATGGTTTGTACAGTGGTGGCATCTACATGGCCCCATTGATGAAATCTTTCCAGCTGATCTTAAAGATCAGATTAA